AAATAGTCTTTATTTGACATTTAGAGAACAGGATTGTGGGGAAGATTCTCATGAAGAACTTTGGTTCAACTTAAAACTTGTAGAACAGTCAATAACTGCCCAGGTCCACGTAGGACCATTCCTCAGATAATGAAACTGTAAACAAATAAATAAACTGCCTAAGAGACCTTAGCAATTCAAAATCAATTATATAATTTATAGCTACAATTTTTTCAGTAAGTTGTATTTCATAATAGAGCTTACTCTTCTGACTGTTAAAGAAATGGCACAAAATTAAGCTAACCAGCTTGAATGTTCATATTTTCTTTGCTTCCTCCAGAATTGTCCTGGAAAAAGCAGTAAATTCAACTTTTCCTCGGGTACTTGCTCTTCACAGACACTGGCCTCAGTCAAATGCACACGGCTCTTCCTCTGACAAGCCAGTACTGCGAGCCTCTTTACCACCCAGGGCTTTTAGCCAGCACTCAAGGTCTGTCTCACACTTCAGTTGGCACAGACTGGGACATACAGGCTGCTCTGGGCTTTTCTCGTCCTCAGAGCCTGCTTTTGAGGTATTAATTGGATTTTTTTTTTAAAGGAAATCCTTTTCCTAAAGTTTAACTCACATATGTTGTCACCAGTTATTATCTTCCCAGTTCAGTTCCCCTTCTTCTCCCCAGCCTTCAGCCTCTCCCTGCAACAAAATAAAGCACAACATGAGCAATGTACTAAGACAAATCATATCCAAATTTGAAAAATCAGGAATTTAAGAAGGACCTAACAGTAGTCTTCTGATGCCAGAATATACTGCCTCATGCCAGCTAATAAGTAAAATAACTGAAAGTTGAAAAGTAGGATTACTTTGGTTCCAGTATTACAAATCCACAGCATTGGAAAATAACTTTTCAAGAACCACATAGTCCAGTAAAATCAATCTTGATGACACCATATTCTTGGTTTAATACCTTTCTTTCTTTTTTTTTTTTTTTTTTTGTCTTTTTCCGTGTCCGGCAACGGGATCGCAACCCTCGG